CCCCCTTTTCCCCCTATTCCTGCCAGCCCTGTCCCCTTTTCCCTTTTCAGTCCCAATAGTGAAATAAATCTAGCTATTCCGCGCTTAGACGTGTTTTGCATGTTTTGCACTGCATCGCCCCGCCTCCTGACTCGGCCCCCGTGCCGCTGCTCCGCCTGCTCCTCCGGCCAGACCGCAGCGTGGCTTTTGTTGTAGGAGAAATAACTATCATCATAATAGCGGGCCATTCCGAAGCATACCAAACATTGCGAATACACTTGTACACAACGTCAGGCATTATTATAGTGCGCCACACCCTGAAATCTGTGTCCAAGATTTGCAAGTTAATAAAGTTCAATGTTCTTTAAACTAGTGCATAAGTACATAAATGATTATCAAAGGAAGCACATTCGAATTAATTTTATATTGATTTGTAGTTTAGATGAACTGTACAAACTATTTGAAAAAATAAAAATAAAAACAACTCCGCCGAATGTTTTGATGTTATGTAAAACTTCTGTGCACTGAAATTGTAAAACAAAACATAAAGTAAAGGGTAAGACTAGTGGGGGATAGGGCTGAAGCCGTAGTCTGCTGGTCTCTTCGTTGTGGTTTACAAGGATTCCCAGACAAATGGGCGAGTAATTCCACAAGAGACGTAGAGGCAAGTGGAGGTGAAGAGTAGAAGAATACGTACTCTCAAAACCGTGAACACAGAAACTTTCTGGTTCTGTAAACTATATGTTGCACTCAATTGCACGGTCAGACAGTCGTATTATAGTGGTAGGCTAATTGCCGAGTTAGGTTTTGTGCAAGTGTACTCTCTGTAAGACCCCCCCTTCCCGCGGTAGCCCAGCTCTGAGCAAGGGGCTTGGTGTTTTAAGGCATATTGATGTCTGGGACGCTCGGCCGTCCCATCTGGCTAAAGTAGTGCCAACCGCTCAGGAAGACGCTGTCACTGTGAGCAGGGAGGGGCTTCTTTGTGGCCGACCTCCTCCCCCCCCCCCTTTTCCCCCCGTCCCTAGTTCCCTTTTACCATACCTCACCACTTCACCCCTCATGCCTTTTCTCCATTTTTCATCTCCTCTTCCTCCTCCCCCGTGACCCCATCCCCCCCTCCCCACAATCCCTCCAGCTGCCGAGAAAGTTCTCTCCCCTCTCCACCCCGCTTTCCCCCCCTAAGAAGTTTTGGAAACCGTTCTAAGTCCACCGCCGCGTCCGTTCTAAACTGCTCCCCGCGCGGCGCGCCGGCCTCGGCGCCGGCCCCCTCGGGGTTGTCCGCGCGCGCGCCGTGGGTTAGCGTAACGGTACTTCGCTAAGACACCGGCCGGCGCGCTCTGCACTTGCTTGCGCCGACGTCCCCGGGTGGTTCATAACTTGGGCCGCTTTGGGCAGCAGGCCACATGTGCGGCCCGGCTGAACTGGTGGCTTGCGTACTATACTACTGCTTCGCTCCCCTTTTCGTAGAAGTAATAACCTCTCTTTTATTTTGTATTTATGTGCGCCATTTGACACTCGGGACCTCGCGGACAAAGAACTGATCGCTGCAGATCGAAACCGTGATACAATCAGATAATTGTCTGCCAGCAGTCTAGTCCTGTGTCTGCCCCACCCACCGCTTTCCTCTCTCTCTGTTTTCCTCTCCCTCCCCGCCCTCTCTCTCTCTCTCTCTCTCTCTCTCTCTCTCTCTCTCTCTCTCCCCAATATCTGTCTGTGTTTGACCCTTTGACCCCTCTGGCTATCCGCTCTCTGATTGGTGGGTGAACAACCATCCAGTTGGACTCTGATTGGTCGAAGTGCCGATTGATGTTGTTGCTACTGAGAGGCCGCATCGTGAAATATGGTGAGGGATACGGACGGAAAAGAGAAGAAATGGCTCGCGTGACTTATTATATTGCGCCATTTTTGGACGCGATAGAGATTGGGAGAGAGAGAGATGGGGGGAAGAGGAAGGGGAAAGGAGGGAGGGCACACTGTTTGGTTGTTGCCTACTTTCAGGCATCTATCCCTTCCGTAAAACCTCCCCTGGCAGAGGCGTTGTAAAAGAAGGTGGTTAAAGCAAGGGAGTAGGTGGAGGGTGACGAATAGCTTGCTGGTGCCAGTCAGGTGCAGCTGAGGGTCGCAGCGGTCGTGTGTTCGTGTCGCCGTCGACACTTCACCCCAGCCGGCCGACCAACGCGGCGTCTCCTGTTGGATGGAATAATTCAACTTTATGGCACCGGCACCGTTTTGTGCGAAATTTTCAGATTCCCTCTCCATGTATTTCCTCCCGGCTGCCTGTGAGCAACTCCTGTGCTGCTCTACCTTGTCCTCAAGCACTGTCCTCCAACCGCCGGCTGGGGTAAATTTTCCTCACGTGATTCAAACCGC